AAAAGATGGTATGGTACGGTAGTAACTACTGGCAAAACTTTGCAGCTTTTTCATTTCCAATGACTTACTCGCCATATTCAGATACGAAAGCAGATGAACTAAAAATATAAAAACCGGAGAAATTCCGAGCTAAAATCATGCTAATGACCCGGAGAGGTGTATAAAATTAGCCTTATTGTATAAGCGTTGTGTTGGAAGACACAATTTTTCATCAAGAAACAGATCTGAAAAAATTCGATCTACTGGACAAGTATTGAGTAGCAAAATTCTGCAATTGATAATAGTAACCATCTCTTTCCTGTCATCGATAAAGCAGGAGCCATCAACACAGTTCTACTTTTTCATCACAGCTGAAATTTCAATCAGATCCAAATAGAGCTGATCGATGAAATGGACGACAACGTAGAGCATACGTTAAGTCAATTTGATCTTGCCAATGGGGCATTGAAAACTCTAGATCCACCAGCAGATTTTGCTGGTCCTGTGAGGAAAAGGAGAATCACAGATCCTTTATTCTTCTTGTTGATATTGGGAGCTTGGGGAGTGTCATCTTGGATCGGTGTGTATTCACTTCAAAATGGAAACTATAATAGAGTCGTTCATCCTGTTGACTATAAAGGAAGAGTTTGCGGAGTAGATAAGGATTCCAGTGGACAAGTTCTTCCATCGTTTTGGCATCCAGTTGACAATTCTTCAAATGGAGTATGTGTCGAGGAATGCCCTACACAAAACAATTTTCAACCTAATTCAAAGAATGAATTGATTTGCAGAGACAACGAAGATCTGCTTTCTATGGACGGATGTTCAATTGCAGGAGTTTTGTCAAGTGACGTCTCTGCACTCATTGCATGCGGTGGCTGTATGTTCAAGACAGAGTCAAAAGTTTTGAACGATTTTTGTATCCCTAATGATGTATCATCTGTTGTAGAGAAAGTGAACGAAGCTTATGTTAGCCAAGGAGTTTCTCTTTCAAATTGGTCTACTTTCAAGTATTCAACTTATATGCAAAGACTCGTGAGGGATGTTAGAACAGCATTTGTAATTGTCGCAGGAGTAGGAATAGGTGGGAGTGTCTTCCTTGGAATAATCTTTTTGATTTTATCCATGTTCCCAATAGGTGTTGCTCCAATGATTTGGAGTTCCGCACTCTTGACTCCATGTGCTTTAGGTGGATGTGGTACTTACTTGTTTTTCCTTGCGAATAAGTACTCCATTGATCAATCTGGAATGCATACAACTGCAGAAGCATATACAATATTGATTGCTTCATATGTTTTATGGAGTGTTGCTGGACTCATCCTTTGCGCTGTCCTCATCATGAGACAAGATATCACGAAAACAATCTTGGTTGCAAAAGCAGTAACTCGTTCCATCAAAGAAATCTCCTTCTCATCTGTTCTCGCCATCGTTCAAATGATTTTGTACTTGGCAACTGTTGGAACTTTTGGATTTTGGGTAGTTTTGCTTTCTACCACTGGAGATAAGGATTACTCTGTTCTTACACACTACATGTAAGTTACACTTGACTACGAGAATATATGTTGTGTCTTTCTTCCAGGAAACCAATACTGACATTTTCTTTTTACATAGGTTTGCATTTCTTATTTTCTCTTTATTGTGGACGTCAGAATTCATCACAGCTCTAGGAAAGATTGCTTTATCTCACTCTTATGCTGGCTGGTACTTTACTCCAGAAAAAGAAGAGGGTCACGGAGTTTCAGTTTTCAAGTGCACAATGGCCTCCATCACTTTCCACGCTGGAACTGCAGCATTCGGTTCATTGTTCATCAAGTTTGTAACGCTACTACGTTCTCCCATTCTCCTACTTCAGTCATGTATCAAGAGGTCAGGGATGGACAATATTTGCGCAGATGCAGTAATCTGCTGTTGCCAATGCAATCTTTTCATTCTTGAACGCTTCTTGAAGTTCATGAGCAAAAAAGCATACACTCATTCTGCAATTTTCGGAACATCCTTTTGTAAATCGTCTCACGAGTCATACTACTTGAAGCTCCGCAACAATGATGTTTTTGAAGATGCAGGCCCATTTTCCTTGTTCTCAGTATTTTATACAAGACTCTTCATCGTATCCACTGTAACTGTCTCATCCTATGCACTTTTGGATACATTTTACTCTGAAAATCTCTTCTCGATTCTCTCAGTAATCGGGGTCATTGTGATGATTTCATATTACATTAGTGAAATCTTTACGGATGTTTTGGGCGAAGCAGTATCTACATCAATGTACTGCTACATCGCCGATGAAGAAATTATGGGAGGAGAAGGCGCACAGTTTGTATACCCGGAGCTTGACGAATGTCTTGAGAAGATTTACACTAGTAATAGTAGAAAGCTAGCTATCGGAGGCGTTTCCAGTGAAAGATATGATGTAGATGTACCAAAGGCGGTCGATGTTGTTTGAAAATAGTTGAAGATGAAAATAGTTAGGTATCAGAAAGTTTGATTTAATCGCTAAAATGTGTTTATGTTTTTATAAAGTAAAGAAGTACTTCTTCAAAACTGGAATACTTAGTCTACTTTTCCAATTTTGCAAAGTCATCACACCGAATAATCTTTGCGCCTATTCTTTCTCAACCATGCGTGTTTGTCGTAAAATGACACAGGGGTTTGGAATTTCTCCCTTCCCCTCCTCTACCCTTTCTCTTTTCTTAGAAAAACTTTGTGGCTGCAGCTGCAGCAACAAGCAACAAGCGACCATTGACAGAACATTAGTACACTGATATAACTGATATCTTGCATAGTTTCATCTATTATACTTAGCAATACATTCACTTTGCAGAATCAAGCTTCATTGGAAAACATTGACTAAAAGGAGCAGACTGGGGAGTAATACGCAATCTTTTTGACAACGAAATATTATAAACAAGCAACCAGCGCAAAACACATCCAAGAATAAAAATAAAACAAATATGTCAAGCATAATAGTTAATTCACTGAGATCAAAGTCTGGTGTTTTCATGCAGCAACCAAATTCTAATTTTCTGCTGAGCCAAGTTCGAACAGCTACTAAAAAGGCTGGAGGTAGTACAAATAACGGAAGAGACTCAGCTGGACGTCGTCTAGGTATCAAGATTTATGGAAACCAAAAAGTAACAGCTGGGAATATAATCGCAAGGCAAAGAGGCAAGAAATGGTATCCAGGCGAGAATGTTGGAATGGGAAAAGACCACACTTTATTTGCAAAAACTGATGGAGTTGTGAAGTTCACTAGCCATCCATGGAAGAATAAGAAAAAGGTGGTGAACGTTGTAAGTGCATAGATATTGAAATGGGTGGTTTGGAAGATGAAAGTTGAAGTACTCGTAGAGCTATAACAACAAAATCACAGTAATCCAATACCTATACTCGTATTATAAGAGTAATCTATTATGACTGAATCATTTTCATTAATTGTTCAATGTAATACAGCGACAAGTGTAGTGGAAAAAGATGTTCGATTATATACGTACGTATTAATACCGAAAATAGTATTGGTAGATCAAAAAGATACTAAACAAAAGTGATAGCATTTAGAACGAGAGAAGAAACTGCGCACCATACGGGCATACGTGAAACGGAAAGAATAAAAACACTCAAAAATGCTGCAGCCACAGCATCACATCTCCTCATGAACCAGATAATTATTATTGCGTCTTGTTTCTTTTACCAAAAAGGAGTGAACAGATGAAATTGAGAGCATAATGGAATTTGCTCTTTGTATTTTCTACTCTATATATACAGCAAGCGAGAGTGCTTCGAAAATCATACGCGACAGTACTATACGTATTAATTTTTGAGTTCCATAGGTCATTCTCTGATGTACAACGGTAGCTTTCACTCATTTTCAACCAAAGAAAAGAGAGATACAGTAAAACGAATATTAGAAATGAAGTCAGCGTGAAAAACTGGGTAGAATAGAGTACCATAAAGTGTTGTTTAGACTTGCTTTCAGAAACTTTAAAAATGATCGTACGTAGTTTGAAGATGCATTGAAGAGCCTCTACGATGGTCTAGCTTGGGCATTAAGATCGTCGTAGATGCAAAAAGAAGGTTGATTCACTTACATATTCTCTTTTCTAGTAGTGTCATTGGAATTCTCATCATTGGTCCAAGCGATGGCCGACGCCTCATTTTCTGTTCTTGGACATCGTCGGCCAAATTAGCTTTGAAAAGACTTTTCGGAGTTTGTATTCAGAGATCTCAATGCCATTGATGCCTTTCTCCGAGGATTACGCCTTCTACCATTCTCTTCCATGGCATTGGAATTCACAATGGATGGATGGAATGAGATTGGAATTTGAATTTGTAGTAGCGACGAGTTTTCTGTGAGAAAAATCAAGTCGAACAAAAGGAAAGCACTTGAAATCAATACAATTGAGAAAGCTGGAGAGACAAGCGAATCAATGAATGCTCTTTTGATGATTCGAATAAGAAATGTCTGTATTCAAAAGGTGGCTGCGGGTGAGGGATTGTATTGAATTCGAAAAGATGATTTGAAATGAAGAAATCGTGAGTTTACCTTTTTCCACTGTAACTTTTTCTAAAGTGCTCCAGACGCCAAGCGGTCTTTTCGAATTAGATTCAAATCTATCAATGCAGCAATGATGTAAGTATCAGCTTCTATCAATAGTCAGAATGAAATGATTCGAAAAAGAGTGCTGCATGGAAAATTGATGGTGTGTGGTTTTCCTTTTGTGTCTGAACAGACGGTCCTACGTCCTTCGTTTATCGTCCTACGTCCTACTCATCCGACATCGGTCATAAGCTAAAATGGCTTTCTCGTTGGGTAAATTTTTTTTCTCGAATCTGGACTGTAAAGAAGGAGCTACAAACTTCCTTTTATTTCTTCGACGATACGTTTATGACGTTGAAAATTGTGCTGAAATGTTTGATGATTTTTTGAATACTGTGAAAGTACTTACGGCATATTCACAAAGTGTGGATTTCATTTAGTTTCATGTTGATACTTTTTTGCGGCTCACATAAAAGCAAAAAGAAATTTCCGGATCGGGGACTCGAACCCCGGGATCCTGCGTGAAAGGCAAGTATGTTAACCACCTACATCAATCCGGATCTTGTTGAACGAATCGCTCTCATGACACTATAGATTCTCTCAAAATGTTTTCGCAGTGAAAGTAATCATATTCCTGTTGCAGGCATATGTTCTTGTACACCATGTACCATTGCCATCATCTCTATTCATTCTTTACCTAATACCTAGTTACAATGGAAGTGCATCAATGTTTACCTCAATCTATTGTAATTCCTTTCTTGGTAACATGTTTAGCAATAATGCTAAGTTTTAAGCTACGAGAATACGGTATTCGATAGTTGTCATGGGTTTATAATTATCAAACTTTTCTCAGTGTTGCTGCTATAGCAAACATCTTTGTGGTTCTTGGACTGACTTGAAAATAGATTATTTCAACCTCTTCATGATTTATTTTGAAGCCCTCAACACCAGAAAACTAAAGGAAACAATGACGTACCATCGCCATCTTAGGCTAAATACTGAATCTCCTATGGAAACACACAACCAGCAATTGAATATCTCGCCATTTGAGATGAAGGTAAGGGGAGATTATAGTGTTTACTTCAATGATACATTCTCATGAGGAAGGGCAAGTACTAGTATTCCAAAGAGTCGAAATATTTTCATTTCATGAACTCGTCGTTATGTCCCAACCTAACGAAGATATCCTTTTCTAAAAATAGAGCCCAATTTAGCATGACAGAACAGGCCTTATTTGCAACAGTCTACTTGTTTTATTTCATTTCTTTTTATAATTTTGATGACTCTACAGTTTATATATGGTATAGGATAAGATTTATCATGGATGGCAATCATCTGAGGTTAGAGTGGAAGCATCAACCAGTCATAATTTTAACTTTTCTTCAGCTAGAAGAAAACTTGCTGAAGGCAATTTTTATATCTTTAAAAAAGCCGTACAATCTACTCAACAACTTTTAAAAGAGGGAGGTATTAGCGGATAGTGGTTGCATGTTGGTGGCGTCAATACGAGTAGATTTTATATTTTTTATTGCTGCTTTTGTGACGCATAGATGACGTCAGACCCCCATGACATTGGACATGAAGATGAGATGTACATTGTACATACTACATAAGTACCATAGTGCAAACAACAACCTCACACCCACACTATATCCAATCTAGTTACAAACGACTATGTTCCACCTGAAGAAGAAATGAAAACCTCTACTATTATATCATTCACAATTGGTTTTGGAGTTTGCTATCTCCTTTTTGCTGGTTTGAATCTTTTCCATGCAATCCATATTTCTTCATCCATAATAACTACTGCTGAAGATGTTCAAAAGACAACATTTATACAAGATAGTAAAACTGACGGTAATGATAGTGACCCACATATCCAAATTGAAAATGAATTACTGAACAAACAAAATGAAGAAGCAAGTATAAAAGACACTAACATGTGTTCCATGCTTGGGCTGCACCTCAAATCGCCGTCATATATATGGAACCAAAACATTGAAATGATATTCAACTCTAGTCGGCACCTCCAAGATAAGGAGTCGGAATATATATGGCACGACTATACCGCAAGATTATTGAACTATATGACAACACAGAGAATGCAAATAAGTGTAAAGAATCTGCCATTTCGATATTGGTATCAAGTCGATAGAATTCTTAAACTTTTGTACGAAAGAATAAAATATATACAAGAGAATGGGAACAAAGATAACGACAATGCTCCTCGAAAAGTAAACATTTTGGTAATGGTGAGTTAAATTGTTTTCGAAAAGAAAGGCTAGTCCATGAATACAAAATCTGAAATTGTGTTTCAAAATCGTCCAGGGAGGAAGCGTGACTATGGGGGTTTTATGTAATCAAAATCCAATCATGGTTACCTCCAGATTTGCTCGTAGAAATTGTGCCTGGCCTACAAGGTTAGAAATGTTCTTGAATTCAGTAGCTCGTAATGCTCTTGGTGTGGAAGGCGACATTGTCAGTCTTCAAATGATTACTCTAGGTGGAACAAACACGGAGTCGGCAATAAAAATTTGGGACTATGATTTATTTCCTGCTGATATGCCATTTCCAGATATTGTATTTCATGGATATGCTACAAATGATATGCATGTATTGAGTGTTCAAGAAGCAGAAAAGCGTGGTATCACCTTGGAAGACATGATTTTGGAAGTGAACCAACAATTTGTACGAGCGATATTGAAACCTAGAGCAAGTTGTGAAGACAATTTGGAACCTCTACTTATCTATTATGACGATTATATTGGCAATGAGCAACGTGAACTTGTTAATACTCATTCTTTTGCGAGAGCAGCACAGACATTAGCATCTTACTATGGCTTTGGGCTCATATCTTATGCTGACGCCGTAAGACACTTAGTGTATGCAGATACAAAAGAAGACTTTTTTTCTCCTAGTGGCTGGCCTGATCGACAAGTACATCCAAGCATGTCTATGCACATCTCTTCAACTTGGATCATTGCATATAATCTCCTGAACATGGCAGCTACATTTTGTTCAAGCAATGGTATAGACAATGAGTTTAGTCATTCCATAAATAAGACGAATGACCACAAAACAAAGCTAGAATACAAGAATAAAAATGGACTACCAAAGCTAAGAAGCGACAACAATCTTGCGGGCGAACCCGATACTGTTCCTTCCTCAATATTACCCGAGCTGACACCAAGCTTATCCTTGGATGATATTTCTTCGAAATGGCACGATTCTAGCAAGCTGTCATTCGACTCTTCGAAATGTAGCGTAAATGAAGGCAGGAGGGAAAAGCCGTGCACTTTCTCTTGGATTGGCGGGCTTGAACGCAAGTTCGACAAAGTCGCGCATCTAGAAAAAAGAATGAAACCAGTGCTTTCCAAAAATGATGGTTGGAGAGCGACTGCTGACAACAATAAGCTCGGCTACGAAGCATCGAGGATGGGCGCTACTTTCGAAATTCTCTTGAAACCTAAGAATCTTGATGTGCTGCAGACCTTAAACTTCATGGTGATGAAAAGCTACGGTGAGAAATGGAAAGATAGCAAAGTAAGAATAGAAGCCTACGTTGATAGGTCAGGTGAAAGTCCATCATACACTCCAGCAAAGACATTGGAGATAAGTGGAATTCATGATCGTCACACTAGCGAAACATACAATCATTACCTTGATCTTGGCAGTCAAAAAGCTACATCACAAGATTCATTGAGGATCAAATTCGTTCTCGTTGGAGGTAATACGTTCAAATTTATGGGTATGGCTTTTTGTAATCATTAAATAACTTTTAGAGAATAGATTTTTAAAGTTAAAGCCCATGTTTGTAAAGCTCATATAGACTTGAGGGGCAACGACCCCTACCTCTCATTTCGTTCGCTGCACTATTCTTAACTGCAGCTCCATCAGTATTAGAAAGCATCAGGTCCCATTCCAACATGATTTGCCTCAATTGATGACTAAGAATCCAATCAAAAGATTCCACAACTTCTTGATTGTAATAAATCCCGTTTCCACCTTCCAAAGAATTCACTCTAGCCTCAATATTACCCAGTGTACAGTCATATAGATTCGAATCACCGCGACTATTAGGGACCAAAGTTGTTGCTTCCTGTAAAGACCATGTTGGTGGTTGTACAGGGTATCTTGAATCAATTTTGACTTGGCACTTGAGGGTCTTTGTATTACATTTCAAAGTTAAGGCATAGATTACGGAATTGTCATCATTTGCAAGCTCACTGAAATTCAAAATCTTTGTTTTAAAATCACTTGGGTCGACGGAGGGATGAACATTCACAACGCCATTTCCAAAACTTTTCAAATGCTGGCGAAGAACTACATGCGATCGCACTCTTCTCTGGATTAATTGCATCATAGTTTTCATACTTGCTTCAATCTGAGATTGGGTCATCATATCATTATTCTCTAAATTTTCTCCCAAATGTTTTGAAGTGAAATTCAGACCAGCTACATATTGGCACCAGTTGTAAGGTCTACCAATTTCTGAGGATGTGAAGAAACTTTGACGAAGTTTCCAAAGGGCCATCTGACTCAAAGAAGGAACTTCCTCATTTTCTTCTTCCATATCAAAGTCAATTCCATCCTCTTCTGTTTCAACATTTCTTGTTTCTATAACTCCTGACAAGGAATGAGAATTACTGTCAGCATCAATTTTCAAGATAATGTTCTCAGCTGATCCCGTAGGTAGATCTTGTCCATTATCATTTTCTATCAAGTCTTGAAGCAATAAACTGCTAACAGTTTTGCTCGTCTTTGATTTTGAAGACCAAAGTAATTCACTAGCTTTATCTTGCACCACTCTAGCTGTGACGAAGTTTAATTCCGAGTAATACTCAAACTCAACTTTCAACATTTCATCTTTCGACCCATTCTTGACAGGAATTTGTAACTGTATACATTTTTCGTTCTTTCTTACAAGTTTCTTGTACATAGCAGCTAGTTTTTCATTTTCAGTATTGATCTCCATACTGGTGTCATTATCGATATCTTTGATTGTGACAGACCACCCGCTATATAATGGACTGTCTTTGTTGGCGTGAATAAAGGTTTTCAATTGCACATAGAGCGTATACAATGGTCCACAAAGATTTCCAGCAACTTCATCCCTTTCATCAGTTGTCAGTGACAAAGAAGTCTCTGGATGATTGAAGTCCTGAAAATGCTTTTTAATTACATCCATACCCTTTTCTAATTGCTCGATTTGTTTAGGTACTGATGCCAAAAACTTCCTCTTCTTGTTCAACTCTTGAAGGAGCTGAGATTTCTCTTTCTTAGCTTTGAGGACTTGAGTATGAAGCGATCCACGAGTAGATAGTTCTTGGTGTAATTTGGATAGATTTGCACTATGTCTTGCAGTATCATGGTGTGAATATGTCGCAGTACCTTCTTTTCTTGCAGCTTTAGATGGCGCAAGAAATATATCTATTATTTCGTCTTGATCCATTTCCTCAGTGGCATCTTCTGCTTTATTTTCTTCATTAATTTCATTAGATGCGACCTCAAGCTCATCCTTTGCCATTTTGAAGAGAAAGGTAGAGTCAACTTGTGTACA